CCCTGTGCAAATCACATCATGGTTCACCGTGCACAACAATAGCTTCCTAGCTTCATGATCTATAACACCACAGGTCCATACATGGGAAATTAATCATTCTAGTACTTCCTCTCCATCTCTGTGCAGCTAAGGTTTTCATTTTCAAAATCAAAATGCTTGCAAAGTTTAAGGCTCTGTGGTCAAAGACAGGGTTAGAGTTCTCTTTTAGACCATCCTTTGCCCTTCCCCTTGTACTACTCCTTTGAAGTACACATCACCTGTACACACTACCCTTCATCCCACCTCTCTGCTATGCTGTTTGGTAAGCCTTTGAAATTTATAATGGCTGATCTCTAACCATAGGGACCTCTGAGAATTGAGGAGAAAAGGAATCAGCTAGGGAAGCTTTGTAAACAATATTAAAAAGCCTACCATTTCCGACAGCCTTGACGAGTCATGGAGACATTTATGAAGAGAAGGCACTAGGCATGTGAACAGTTTTGGGCCAAAAATTAGTGGAGAACCCTTAACCTAAAGCATGCAATAACAGACCTTTAGTTTTGTTTTGTTTTCCCTAAATTGGGGTTGGGAAGATGGTCTAAGCACGTAACTTCTAGAGATTTCTTTACTTTTATCATTTACTTTACTCTATATTTAACTTACATTCAGTAAAATTTGTTATGTTTATGATGCAGAGGCTACATGGTTCGTTTATTTTTTATCTGTCATACTGTCTTCCTTATTAATAGAATCCCCAATCTTTAGTGGAGAACAAGAACACTGAGAATCAAGACTGCAATTCCGACTTTCTAACAGGCAAAGGAGGCCACATGACTAAATTCTACTCAGTAGGATGTATGCATGCAGGCCAATAACACAGAGGGAGCCTGGATCTTGGCATTGTGCAGTGCAGAACCAACCCTGTAATGAATGTTTTCTCAATTTTCACCAGAATGTGGTGAAATGAAATTACTTCTGACATTTTTAATCCCTGTCTTTGGGTGTGAGGAAATCTTTAGATCATGAAGAAAGGAGAGTCATCATCAGAGCATGTGTGAGTTCCCTGCCTGAAACGGCAGACAGGGCAGAGGCCACAGCATGGAGACTACAACATACACCAGGGAAGGAGCACTGAGACCATGAGGTCGAGCGGCATGCTTCCTGACTCCTGGACAAGGCAGTGGCCAACCGATCCAGTGGTGAGGGACGGAGGATTGGAGACAGACTCAAGGCTACAGACGTGGCTGAGAAGAGGGACAAGGGGACTGTATCCTAATACTTTCTGATTCTGACTTGCAGAAACATGTTAATGGCCCTCATAAACCCAGAATCCCGAGTACCGCCTGACTTGGCTGTGGCCGTTACAACGGATTACTGAACCAGAGCGGAGCACTGTGGGAGGGACGGTTGGTGTCACAAAAGGGTAAAGAAAGATGGAGGGTGAAGGCATGTCCGACCTCTGCCTCGTGGCAACGGGCCTTGAAGCTAGGATACAGTTGGATCCTCCTTACCCTTTGTGTAACCAGAGGTCGGGCGGGGCCCCCGTGCCATCCCCTTTCTACTACCCTCAAACTACCTTAACGAAGACAGCTCCCAAGTATCAGCTGCCTCAACAAAATTACGTTCTTTGGTGTCAGAGAAGATGCTGTGTTTTAAATGGAAAAGTCTCAAAGGTCAAGATTCTACTATACCGAAGGAGCAATCTAGAGATTAAAAATAAAACAAAACAAACACATCACATTCATATATGAAGGAGACTGAAGTACATGCAAAGTAGAGTGAAGAGAAAATAGAATTTTCCACAGCTTTTTGAAGGCCCCTTATATAAGCAGTTCTTTCTAACGTTAGTTTTCTTAGCATTTTACACATGCACATATATTAACTATAAATATGTAACCGCAAATTAGTCAATAATGAAATTTGTATAAAGAGAGGGAAAAAATTGGTACAATTTCTCAGAGGCCCTCATGATTTAAAAGACAAAATTATATGAGCTATACATACCTTCAGGTTCATACTTCAGTTTTAATTCATCTAGTTTGGCTCTAAGCTTCATATTTTCACTTTGGGAAAGCTGGGAGAATCTTTCATTTGCAAAAAGTTTTCGCTCAATATCCAGAGCTTGCTGGCTCTCAAATAATGCTTTCATTCGCTGTAAGGAGAGCTCATCTTTGGTGCTTGCAATTTCTTTGCTGTAGCAATTATAAGAGTTGTACAAGCCCCCAATAAAATGATTAAAAAGAGAGAGAACCATTAAAATATCACACAAATGTATACACTGGTTCACATCAATCTTTGATTACATATTTGAACTCTTCGTTAAAAAAGGTGTGTCTGCGTATTTTAGAACCAAAGAAATAATGAACAATTAAATCAAGCTAAGTTTATGCAGAAATATACAAATTCCACTGTTTTAAATTGTGTGATATTTATTTGACTTAACAATCACAAAAGGAAAAAACTCTAAACACAAAGAGATTAAAGCCACTCAATTATTCATGAAATTATATTTTCCTCAGATGATCAGCACTAATTATGTCTTAAATAAAGTCATGTACTACACAAAGATATCTGTATTATGTCTCTTCTGGAATCTTCTTTCAGCACTTCCAAAACAAAATTTTACAGTTATGAATAGTATCTATTACAAACAAGCAAAAAGAACCTCCATTTCTCCATCTACTTGGCCCCGGCACTTACTTTAAGTTATCAAGCTTTATCTGAAGTAAATCTGTATAATAGGTACTATCATCCATAACGTCAGAGTTGGCTGAAGGCTGAGACCCCATACTTTCATATAAACTCTAAAGAGAGTAACAATTATTGTTAGTTATTATAAATAACAAAATTGGATGATGTACTGTTTACGAGTTACCATTTATCAAATGGCTATCTTATAGTGCTCTTAGAGTAAAGGAGGTCTATCTATTAGCCTTCCTCTCTCACTGATGAGAAGGCTGGCTCACAAAGGCACAGCCTCGCAGACAAACAGCAGAGAATGTGAAACTAGACGTGTCTCCTAAGCCTGGCTCCTAATCACAGCAATAACCTGCAGCGCCCCTCTCCTGGCCTGGAAAATGGAAGAAACACACGCTCACTGGGTTCAAGTTTGGACTTTTTGGCAAAGCTATAAATTAGAAAGATATGAGCAAGGAGAAAATGGAAACCATTAAGGCTTTTGAAGTGTTTGCTTCTCTAAGATTCAGATGGACACACTGTATTTTCTCTAGAAGGGAAAAATATGTCAGCCTAGAAATGTGAACAATTTTGGAAACTGCAGGATAAAAAGATCCGGTTAAAGCCATAATTTTCAGAGTGCAGTGCTAGGCTACAGTGCACTGCCCAATGCTTTGCTGAAACTTCCACCAAAGTGCAGCCCTCTAATGAGTTCTTTCCAAAGACGGCAATAAAATAGAAAGTTTTATGATATACGAATGGCTCCAATTAAGAATGCCTACGGAAGTTGACCAATTTTTTTCATTTATACACTTCAGTTAGTTCATTAAAGTTTACTGAGTTTATAACAGATTTCTAAGTTACTTGCTAACTTTAATGAAACCAAAATAAAGATACAAATGCAATTTTTCATAGCTTAACATGATGTTTATAGAGAAAAACATACCAGGAAAGTACTATGAAAAGCTCCGGAGGAGAGAAGCCTTCCAGGCCAACAGTACTGAGTCCTCAATCATTAAAGCAACGTAGTACTTACTAATGGCCAGAAACCCGGCGAGTAGAGTAAAATACAAAATCCCAAAGTGGCTCAAGTACATACTGAAATCCGGTATAAGAAAAACAACTGTCTCAAATCACTGCAGCCAACGTTGACTTTTTAAATAGGAACGTTGGGAAAACTAGTTTTTTTATAAGACAGGTAAAATTAGTTGGATAACCTGCACATGACTGAGAAGGACAAAAAAAAAACCCCAAAAAACAATGGGGACGAACCCTCTCAATGTACAAGTGAAATCTTACACACAATAGCAGACAGGATGGGTAAATGTCTCTACAATCGATAGGGTAGAGACAGATTCCCAGTGATGATTCCAAATCCAACATCATAAAAGATTGGAAAAAGTAGCTATATACAAATACAAAAACTTTTACAACGTAAAAATGAACAAACAACAAAACTACGACCATAAACAAAGTTGAAAGACAATGAACAAACTCAGAGGAAATATTTGCAAGAAACATCGTAGACACAAGGCTATTGTCTCTAATAAAGAACTCTCAAACCTTGAGAGAGAAAAGAATCCATCAAAAGCTAGCAAAAGATGGTTTATTTTCTCTCGCTGTCTCTCTCACGCACACACATGAAACCATTACACACCTGCCAAGATGATGGATTTCATTTGCATTCCACCAAACCCAAAGCCACCGAGTCAACTCTGACGCCCACGGGCCCTGTATAGGGTTTCCAAGATGGAGAATCATGACAGGAGCAAACAGCCTCCTCTTTCTCCTGCAGCCTCCGTCCGCACTGTGGTCAGCAGCCCTGTGCTCACCCACAGCCCCACCAGGGCCCCATCACGCATTCATATTCATGGAGACATGCCAGGCAAGACCAGACAGAATACCCTTTCTGATCGCTCAATGTCACTCTGCCTGGCAGCGCCTGAGTCAGAAAACATGTTCTCATGAGTGAGGAATGAGAACGTTTCGAGCCAGTTGGTGGGAACACCAACTGGGGAATCAAGGCGAAAGACACAAAGAAATCCTCATTCAATTTCTTATAAAGCCTAAATTTGTTTGCAGAAAAGAGTTTTATTAAACATTTCTACAAAGGATTCCAGGTGTCACACATTGTGGGGCACAACGGTACAGCTAGACCCTCCTGGGGGTCCATGATCACATAAGGGAGGCAAGCAGTGGCACACAGACATAAACCTCCCGGACAGAATGCTGAGGAGAGGGCGAAACAAGAGAGTAATCTTTAAAAGGGCTATGAAAGAATCCTACAGAGTACTAGAAATAGTCTGTATCATGACATAAGTGGTAGTCATATGCATAGAGGCGTATGCTAAACTGCATTGACTTCTGAAGAGCTGCAAATCAGTCCATCACAAGGTATAAATTACATGCAAATTAGATAATATCAAAAGCAAAACTAGGGTAGGTTGGCTTGAGTGTATTAAAAGCAAAACTGAAGAATTGGAAAGCAGAAAACATGCCAAAGTGGGGGGAATATTTAGAAAATACTGGACCATTCTCAAATGAAACTAAAAGTTAATTATGTAACAAAGAAGCCTATTTGAATTGTAAGTAAGTAGCAAGATAGCCAAACCAAAGTTTAGCTGTACATGTAAGAGGTGTTGCACATACCTTGAATTTCTCCAGATTTCTAATTTCACCTAAAAGATGTTTTATTTCACCATTCTTCTGTTCCAGCATGGCAAACAACCGCTCCTGCTGCTCGTGTTCAGTCTGAGACCCTTTCATCTGTAGCAAGGTGGCTATTTGTAACTACGACAGAGAAAAGGCAAGAATCCACAATAAGTACAGAAGACAATTTTGAAGACTATGGTGAGGGGGCGCGTGAATTAAAGTTCGTGGAAAAACAGAATTAAAAGATAATGGGCTTTTTCCAGTCTTATTGAAGCCCCCTCCCCATACAGCTGGCGGACTTCATCTTTGAGTTCATTTTGGAAACCAATTTGCTTTCTCAGGCTAATAATTTAAAGACATTCACTCAAAAACTTTGGTCATTGATTCTTCATACTGAAGTATTTATTTTGAGTAGTTATTAGTGATATCATACATTTACAGTTATCTATACCTTTGCTAAAATACAATTGATGGCTAAGGTTTGAAACAGGTCACTTAATTCCTAAGTGAGCCTGGTCTAATGCAGTCCACTCCTTGTATGCATTTTCATGAGGGCTCTGATAACGGTTTTCCAAAAAATTTAATTTACCCCAACAGTACTGAGTCAAACAATTCAGCTGCTCGAGTCACAAATGCCAAGAGTCAAAAGAGAAGATAACGGTAAGGATAACACGCTCTTCTATTTTAGAGCATCACTCGGCTTGTTTAACATTCCATCTAAACTTCAAGTGGCTTAACAATGAGAAAGATATTGACCAAAACCAAACCAAACCCACTGCTCTTGGGTCTATTGCTACTCAGAACAGAACTCCCCACAGGGTTTCCAAGGCTGCAATCTGACTGGAAGCAGCAGCCTGCCTCGTATTTCTCCCATGGAGTGGCTGAAGTATTCAAACTGCTAACCCTTTCAGGTTCATGGCTGAGAATCTAACCACTGCTCCAACATGGCTCTTGGAAGGATGTGAGGTTGGAAGCATATTTAAAAGGAGGACAGAAATACGATTTTTAACATTTGCCTAAGAAGATTCAGAATGTTACTAGTCTCTGAAACATGCTGGGAACATTGAGAGATTATAAGAAGTAGACCAGTAAATACTGAAAGCGTGTAAGTGAGAACATATGCATAGAAATCAACCATAGAAACGGGAGGGTCAGCAAATGGGAGGCACCTTTTGAAAATCTTTAATAGAAAATCTTTACTATTAAAATCCACAACTACTGTTTTTATTAAGTAGGCATTTATTGGGCAAGCATTTTACTAAGGATCCTTGGTAGTGTAGTGGATTAGGAGTTGGGCAAGGCTAGTGCACTACCATTTGAAGAAAGAGAAAAAGGAAAATTATATATATATATAAAAGTATATAATAATATATATAACATATACAACTATATAACACACACGTTTGTAGAAAGTGGATGTAAAAGACAGAGAAACATTTCCATAAACTTTCATATGTATGTATCAGTGGCTACTAACTACGCTACTGCTGAATCTTTACTCCAGAATCAACTTTTAAAAATAAAACATAAATGCAACTTTTGCTCAATTAAAAACAAACACATATATGTTCACATGTAACTAAGGGCTTAAAAATAATTATGTAAACACATTCTTCTGATGTATTTATACAAAATAAGGTTTAATAAACCTTTGATGACAAAAATTCTTTACCTTCATTCTTTGCATCTGTTCTCGATTAAACACATTTTGTTTCTTTAGGGATTGATACTTGACTTTCATACTGATGAGCTGGCGTTCCATTGCTGCTCTTCGATCTTCCACCTAGAAAACCAGAGCCTGTTTGGTTGCTCTTGTAAGTGAGACGCTAATTTACTCCTGAAATATATGTAAGTACCTCTGCAAACAAAGAGTTGCCTTTACTACTGGGGTCCAAGGCTTGCTGGAGTGCCTGGTCCAATTGCACTTGAAGATCTTGATTTGCTACCCGAGCTTTCTGAATTTAAAAGAAAATCAATTCAGCTGGCAGTGACTACGTTAGCAAGAAAACAGCTGATGAGAACGCAGAAAAGCGCCCGACTACCTCTAAGGCATTGCAGTAAGACACCGCTTCTCTCTCTCGCTCCTGCTTTTCTTCTTTCAGCCGCTCCACCTGGCGCAGCAAGTTATTACTGAGCAGTTCCAGTTGTTCTTGCCGGTACTTCAGTTCATTCACTTCCTCTTTGAGGGCCATCTATTGGATAGAATTGAAAAATAATCTTTCATTTCTCGTGCAGCTGTTCCATTTATCCGTCACTGCTGACCACACCGAAAACAAATATTAAAGAACCAATCAAAGGTTGGGAGATGAGTAATAAAATTATAAAATTACTGAAGCTTTCAGCAGGGAACCTATTGAAAGGCTCTGAAAACCACCTTTTCTCCCTGTGAACTAAACCAGCTTTCGTCTTAACTTATTTTAGCCTGCAACAATAAAAACAATCTTCACATATATTTTCATTTCTATTGCAGCAACATTTTATACTGAGTCTTAATAACACAGGGTCAGAATCTATGCCTCTAAATTTCGTCTAGAAATGTTTTTATTGTTAAAAGTAAGCCCTGCCTCTACATAACCATGCAAACATGTCATCTGAAACGATATTGTGCATAATACAACCCACCTAAAAACCTTGAAAAACATTTTTAGTGACTCAACTCTCAGGCTAAAAAGTATTTCAGGCTTACAAGAAGCTCAAAAGTTATTACGAAAGCATGTGAAGAATTCACCAGGAGGAAAAAGATAGGAAAGGCTCCCATAACAATTACCTTCACACTTTCCATTTCCGTCAGCTCGAGCTGAAGACCCAGCATCTCTGAAGACGTGCTTTCGTGCGCACGCTCACATATGGCGCGGATGTCCTCCGACTTGGAGGACAGGAGTGCCTTCTGATGGTCCACTTTGTGCTTCAGCTGCTTCTCGTTCAGCCTTGCTTCATCCAATTCTGCTTTCAGCTTTTCTAACTAAAACACGCAAAAATAAAAATAAAGAATTCACAGTCCTTGAATAAGTCATCAAAATACCTCATTAGAGTACAAAATACTCTGCTGTCTGTAGGACAGCTGTTCTGGAAAAGAGTCATGCTGAACACAACTATTTTAAGACCCTTTATAAAGTGTCACGATTTCTATATCCAGGGACACTGAGAATACACTCGTACATGGATCATTGGGAACAAAAGCAGAGCAGGAGGGAAACCTTAGGGCTGGACCTAGGTTTGAGTCCTGCCTTGGGGAAGTTACTTAGCCTATCTCAGCTTCATTTCTCAAATGTAAAACAGGTATGGTAATCATGATAGCTACCATCTCTGGGTAACTGTGAGGCACAGACAAGATCAGAGGGGTTCAGGATTAACTTTAAAAACAAAATATAAAAGATCTTTTGCTCAATGAAAAACACATATATTCTTACATGTAATTATGTGGTGGCGTGCAATTTCTTAATGTGGCTCTTCTACCCAAGTCTCTCTAACTCCCGACACCAAATGGTTAGGTGACTATGCAAACAGGGTGTGTGAAACACCGGTAGAGGGGATTGACCGATCAGTGTTTGTTACCAAACCCCTGGCTCTGAGGACGAGCCATGTTTGATGCAGCAGCAGAGAGGGCAACACCAAAGACCTTGGAAGAGCACGTCTAAGATCTCTGTCTAACGCGGAGGAGGCCACCAAGATCACAGCACCAGAGATGTGGCAGGGACTCAGAGGAGCAGTGCAGAGACGACGGACTGCCTTCTCCTCGTGTGGCCTGAGACTATGACACAGTGCAATGAGTGACTGGCAGGCTGGCTTCCTTGCCCATGGAAGCAAAGGCCAAGGGACTATGTGGCTGAGAGACTAATGAGACTATACCCTTACCGTTTACTGATCCTGACTTGTGGTAACCTATTAGCTTCTCTAAAAAGCTCCTTTAACTGTGAGTACTTAATTCTGTGTGGCCGCTGAAACTACCTATATACTCGAGTATAAGTTGAGTTTTCCAGCACATTTTTAATGCTGTTTTTGTGGTAAAATTAGGTGCCCCGGTTGATATTCAGGATGGCTTATACTCGAGTATATACGGTAATTATTGCATAGAAATAGGGTGTGGGAAAGGAACGGATGGTGTTGGAAAAGATGAAACATCTGACTCCTGCCTCATGGTAATAGGGAAGCCAGGAGATCAGACATTGCCCCCTCTATTGCTGTCAAGTCTATTCCAACTCATGGCAACTCTACAGGACAGAGTGGATCTGCCTCTGTGGGTGTCTGAGACTGTAACCCATTATGGGAGTAGTAAGCCTCATCTTTCTACTGCACAGCGGCTAGTAGTTTCAAATGATGCAAGATAAAAAATTCAGCTATCTTTCTGATAAGACATCACGATTGGTCCAAATGTGTTGCATGACGAGACTACTGGGGTTTTCTGTTCCTAGATATTGCAAATAGTTGGGCATGACATCACCAACTGAAAGCTTGGGGCCTCCAATCCAGAGCCATCTTGGAGGACATGCATGCCAATCAGCTTCCACAAGGTCACGGTGTTAAATATCCCATGGCGCAGCTCTACTCTGCACCCAGATAATTGCGACGAGTGGGAATTTACTTGATAGCAATGGACAACAGGCACCTTATAAGAGTGGCATGCCTTCTGATAAAGATACAATTAATCCATACAAGTAATCAAAACAAAGCAGGCAGCTAATAGATGAAATTATTTAAGAATATCCAAGATTGAAAATAATCTTTGACTAATTATTTTCTCCACCAAAATAAGCCATTTGTATAAAAGCCAATGGCAAAACCCATGAATCTTTGTGGCATTATTTTAGTTTAGGGAAAGGAAGAGACTGATACCCACAGAGGCATGCAAGAGGGGTCTAAGTGTTAAACAAAACCACATTTTCCAAGTTAAATCTACTTTAGTGGAAAAAACATAACTAGCTCAAATATGTAATTTCACAATTTCATTACTTACAATGAGAAACATTTTTAAAGTGAGTCAGTTTAATGAGAAACTAAACAATAATATGGGCAATACTATGACAAGGGAAGGCGCTTCATTAAAAAAAAAAAGAAAACTGGAAAACAGCCTTCTGAGAAACAGGGCAAGTTTCCCTAGAGAGGTGTGCATACAACGTCTGGGTTCCTCAGAAGTGACCCAAAGCTACTGGGCAGTTAGTTGCAGGGAAGGGAAGGGGTGTTAGAAGAATATGGATAAGCACTGTACAATCATCCACCACATTCATGCTTGATTGATGTGGAGCCAATCGAATGTGTCTTAGATTAAGTGCTTCAGTGGCACAGGCTTTGGGGTCACACCGCCTCAGTTCAAATTGTGGGCTGCTATTTCTAACTCTGTGATTTTGGCCAATTTGCTCAATCTGTTTAAGCACTGGTTTTGCCGGCTGTTATCTACAGATATGATACGTTCCTTCAGAGTTCTGAGAACGTGTATCGTGTATTCGTTTATCTGCAATAAACAAAATCGTTAAAAGAAATGACTGGTTTCTTGTGGAGAATTGTAAAGTATGCCACTAGTTATAGTAGAGGGTAGGGGCTAGTCTGTCTTTCTAGCACAGGATTGCTTTTTTATGCACTGTAAGCAAGGAGGCCTTGCTGGCCACCACCCATGACTGTGAAACGTACAAGCCATTACAAGTACTGTTACCAAAATTACTACATTTAATTAGTTGAATATTATTTCCACAAGTCCCTGAGGTAAATTCTTGACATTCACTCAGCATTCTGTTCTTCCCACCCTCAGCCTTAAGGTAATGGGACATTGTATCCTAGCTATCTTCCATGGGTGATCCTCAAGGACTTTGTGACTACATACAGCTGAAAGATCGTGGCACAAAATATAGCAGAGTTTTGATCTGAAGTATAAAAACATCCATACCTTATCTTTCAGTTCATTAACTTCCTGCCCGTGGCGTCTGCTCAGCTGTTCTTCTAATTTCTCCAAATGCATTTTTTGTTGCTGTTTAATGGCTTCACACTCAGAAGCCAAACTCTCTAACATTCGACTCTTGAGCTCTACTTCTCTCTGAAGAGTATATTTTTCTTGTTCATAATTCTGAAAATAGATTAGATTATAAGTTAACCAAGTAAATATAGCTTGAAACCATCACATCCATGCAGTTCTCACCTTCACATGATTTATTACTTGTTTTGTATGTATGCTATTGCACAAGTAACAGCCATACATCGAAATTGGACTCTAAAGCTAATTGATCTTAAGAAAAACCATGGAGGCGTATTTTGAAGGTACATTAACATCCATGCTAAGGATAAGGCCCTTGCTTCTGTGCCCTATCAAGGAAGTACAACGTGTCCTGTAGCAGGCAGTGTGTCAGGAAATCACTACAGGGGAAAAAAATGAAAAGATTTCATAGCATTTTAGTCTTTTAAGGGAGAATCATTTGGTTTGTCAATAAGATGTTCTACTTATAGCTCTGAGCAAAATAAAGAAACACAGAAACTGGTGAAAAGTAAAAATTTTAAATTCATCTTTACCTTCAGAATGTAACCATGTGAAAATTATTCACAAAATTACTTTCGGAGTCAATACAGTGCTGAGATAAAAGTATTTAAGAGGGCTTCTGTACTGACAGGGAAGTTCAGAGAGAAAAACTAAAACATTCCTATTATTCCTCAACAGCCATTTTAATTTATGATATTGTGCCTGAGGTCAATACTTACGTAACAAATTAGGTCCCTACTGAACAATTCCTCAACCAATTGTTCTGAGAAAGCTACCACTTGCACACTGTATGAGCATTCTCATGGGGCTCACGTTGTTTGCGGTTTCCAATGATCAAGCTTCCCTGACCTGCCTTGCCTTGTGCTTTAGGGTAAATGTTGGCTGTTTGATCTCATATAATTCCTTGTTTAAATGAGTATATAACTCAAGGGTGATACTATTTATTGTATAAGCCAACAACTCAATGTAAAGAAGACCAGTCCTCACAACTGGGCCAATAAGTAACTTCAAGATAAAAATGGAGAAAAGGGTGAAGCTGTCCAGGATTCTGTCTTGCTTGGATCCACAACGAATGCTCAGGGCAGCAGCAGTGTAGAGGTCTCAGGAAGCATTGCATAGGGTAAATCTGCTGCATGAGATCTCTTTAGAGTACTGAAAAGCAAGGATGCTACTTTGAGGACTAAGGTTCGTCTTAGCCAAGCCATGGTATTTTCAATCACCTCAGATAGATGTGCACGTTGGACACTGAATACGAAAGTCCAAAGAAGAATCAATGCATTGCCAAAGAATACTGAAAGTACAATGGATTGCTCAAACGACAAACTGATGTCTGGGAGCAAGTAAGGCCAGAGTGCTCCTTAGAGGCACAGATGTACTTTGGACATGTTGTCAAGAGCATCAGTCTGTGGAGAAGGACATCATGTCTGGTAGATAAGAAAATAAGAGCAAAGAAAAAGAGGATGACCCTCAACGAGACAGATGGACACAATGGCTGCAATAGCGGGCCCAAGTACAGGCGTGATTGTGAGGATGGTGCAGGGCTGGGCAATGTTATGTTTCGTTGTGCTCAGGGATGCTGAGGTTGGACATCAACCTCCACAACTACAGCAGCATCACTGGCTGAAAAGGAACCTCCTCTGGAGTGGCTTCAGTTCCAAGTATAGAAAGTATCTTAAAATAATGTCTTGCAATTTCCTCTAGGCAAGTGGTTCTTAACCTGTGGGTGGTAACCCCTTTTGGGGGACTGAACAAGCCTTTCATGGGGGCTGCCTAACACCATCAGAAAACACATATTTCCAATGGTTGGGGATCACCACAACATGAGGAACTGTACTAAAGAGTCGCGGCATTAGGAAAGTTGAGAACCACTGCTCTAGTCTCTAGCAGTCCAGTGAGTCTGGTCATTTATTTTTAATCTGAATTTTGTTCTACATTTCCCTCCCATTCTAGCTACACCTTTAATGATATCCCTATTGTGTCCTTGTTCAGAGTAGCAGTGGTAGTGGTAGTGGCCCGCATCTGGTTTTCTTGGTCTCAGGCTAGAGGAGGCTATGTTTAGTGAGGGCTATTAGTGCTGTGGTACAGTGTCTTACATCTTGGGTTTCCTCCATTCTCTTTTGCTTCAGATAAATAGAAGCCAATAGTTATCTCTTAAACCACTTTCAAGTTTTTAAGACCCCATATGCTACTTACCAATCTAGAATGTAGAACATTATCTTTATGAACTATGGTACACACACACACAGAGGTGGTACCCCTCAAAAAACTGCTGGATGAAGCAGAGCTTTTGTAGTACACATTTTTCCTGCTAAGCAAGCATCCAGCAACTCACTCTCAGTTAGTGCACCCAGTGGCATCTCCTGGAAAGGTTCTCTCTGGTCACAGCGAATTTTTTCACAAAAAGTAATTTCGCTTTAACCTTGTTTTTGGTGACAGCTGATTTAAGGGAACAGCATGTAGCTGTGAAATTTTGTTTCCTGCTCAGGAAATTTTGTTGCCGCAAAAACTGTTGTGATGTTGCATACAGCTTATAAGGACAGCACTATGGGAAAAATTCAAGTGTACAAGTAGTATTCTCATTTCAAAAAAAGTGAAATGTCAATTGATGACAAACTTGGTTGTGGCAGTCAGTCAACTTCCCGAATGGATGAAAATGTGGACTCATAGTACATTTGGAGTTGATTCCACTAGTTCAGACGGCTATTCAAGCTCTCTCTTTAGAGGTTTTGAAAAAGTAAGTGTGTGACAAAAAAGGTCTGGTTTGTGGCAGACAGGATACTGTTTTTGCCACCACACCAATGCACCTGCTCCTGCAGCCATCTCAGTGTGCCAGACCTCACCTGACCTCACTCCATGCGAGACTGCTTGTTTCCTTGAATGAAGATGGATATGAAAGAACAGTGATTTGCCGATGTAGATGAGATGAAGATGAAGAGAGAGGTGCTATCAGTCATCCACACAGGTAAGTATGAAAAATGTTTCCAAGGATGGAATCATAGATTTGACAAATGTGTTAAGTGTAAAGGAGTATACTTTGAAGGTGATAATGTTCTGTAAAAATATTTATATACATAGCTTGGGGGAAGGTTGTTTTTTGGGGGTACCTCCTCAGTGTGTATGTATATTTTTTATATCTGAATACAAATGCAAATGCAGCACACACATTCCTATGCTGTAGATAAACCTGGATATGCATGTGCATGTATGGGTGATGTAGTGGGTGCGTGCCAGGTTGCTAACTTTAAGGGAGCAGCTGGAAACCACCAGTCACCCCTCGGGAGAAAGGCAGGGCTTCCTGTGCCTATAAAGAGTGGCAATCTCGGAAACTCACAGGGGCAGCTCTACCCTGTCCGATGGGTGGCTACGCGCCGGCATCGACTCGATGGCACTGAGAGTTTGAGTACTTACACATGCCTTCCTGCACACGTATATACCTAAGAGGGGGCTTCAGAAAATTCATGGGAAAACTCCATTATCTTTTAATTCCATCCGTCTATAAACTTTTTAAGACCTCTTAGTTATCTAAGGAGCCCTGGTGGTACAGCACTGGGCAGCTAAAAGTAAGGTAGGTTTTCAGGTAGAAATTAACAGCCACTCTGCAGCAGCAAGATGAGTTTTTCTACTTCTCTGAAGAATGACCCTCAGGACCTAATGTCGGGGGTTTAAGTGGAGAGAAAATGTTTTGAGAATGATGTACAAATGCGCTTTACACAATTGATGTGTGTATGGATTGCGATAACAGTTGTATGAGCCCCTAATAAAATGTTTAAAAAAAAAAAAAAGAATGACCCTCAGAAACCAACTACCCTGTCTTACAGAGTTGCTGTGCAATCTGAGTTGGAATCAACTTGATGGCTACAAGTCTGGCGTTTCGGTTTAATATACCCAGTTAGATTTATGCTTAGGCATCTTATCCCTTTGGGAGCTCCTATAAAATAATTGTCTTCTGGATTTCTTTGTCTGAGTTATTCTTATAGAGCCTATGTTTCCAAATTTAGCTGATCATTGGAATCACCTTGGGTTCTGGTAAAATTGCAGACCCCTGGGCTCCACTAGAAACCCAATGAGTCAGAATCTCTAAGAGAAGGAGCCTAAGAATCTGTAGTTTCACCATATCTCCAAAGTGATTCTAATCATCTGCTAAGAAAGGGGAAGTCCGTAAAAAAAATAAAATGTGTAGAAGCTTAATTATTAAACTAGAATTTAAATTTGATGAGTTATTTACTAAAACAATTGCATCTAGCACAATTTTCTACTAGAGAGATATTTACACTTACTTGACTTTGTCTTTAGACCGTGAATTCACGATCAATGATGATAATATAGAGAAAAAGAAAAGGGTTACCATTAACTATTTTTATGTGCTACCTTTACAATTTTTAGATCCATGTTTAAAGATCAGTTACTGTTTATTAAATAACACAGACTTGGTTATACTTTCAATCAATATTTAATATGTGTGCCAAACAGTATCGGGTCTATGTTCAGTTCGAGTTGGCCATTAGGCAGCTGAATAGGTGTAGATTTATGTGTAATGAGTATTTAAATGTTATTTTAAAGCTACAATGTAAGATGGGGCACTTAGGAAGAGTACAGAGAACAAAATCTAAGATCCATTATGTGGTAAAGAGGGTAATTATAGCTTGACTCTTCCAAGTCAGAAGACATTGTGTTGAAAAACATCTCAGGAATCCATTTAGTTAATTCCCTTTTATTATTACTGGGGGCTGGGTAGGAACTAGATTTAAATCTTTGAAATAGTATATAATACTAACAATTAATGACAAATCTTCAATGCCTAAGCACTAAATAAAGGCATGCAGAATCTCACCTCGGTGATGGTCATCATTTCATTGCGACATTTATCCAACTGATTCTGCAGCTCATTTTGGCTCTCCACTAGCTGTAAACCATACTGTGCAGCTTTCAGTCGCTCTTCTTCAACCTCTTTGAGCTTGGATCGAAGACCTGCGATTATATCTGCCTCCATGTCCTTTGCCTGTTTTAGCCTACTGTCGACAAAGGAAATAAAACTGCTTAAGCTTAAACCAAAATCTTCAAACAATGGCATCAATAATAAACAAAGCATATGCAATATTACTGCCAGGTAAAAACACAGTGTTACCATTGTCTACCTGACTTGGAAATATCGAATATGCACTTGATTTGAAGCTAAATCAAACAGAAAAAAAGAACAGATGAATGCATTTGTTTCTTGGCAATTCAACCGGAGGAAAGGGTTCAGTTATGTGTGCTGTGCTTTCTTAAATGTGAAAGCATGATGCATTTCATAAGTACTCTACACACACACACACACATACACACACACACTCAGAGTAAAGAGACCAACAGAAGAGAACTTAAATGTAAAAAGGCGGCTTTGAATAAGGTTGATAAAGCAGAACAAATATCATGCCCATGATTTTCCACAAGTGTTAACTTGCAGAACATACTGGATTTACTTCCCTGAAAACAGATTCACTAGTTATGTTCATGCTTATTTATGAGAATATACAACACAGAAACTATTTCAGAGTAATTAAAAGATGTTCTTATTTTAGTTTTAAAATATTGGACAAATATTATATATTAAAAACAAAACACCACTTTCCACTTTAACTCAACCTCACTCACTATCCTTTCCTGTTTGGTTCCAGTCGGTAGACCAGATCTCCAACTCAGCTTTGCCTTCAATGAACAACAGGGTATCACTCAAATATTCTTGCATGTCTCTGGTTAATATAGTCTTTCACTCACTCAACAAATACTTCTTGAATGCCATAAAGCTCATCCTCAAGGCAATTTACATTCGGGGGGCGGCACAAACCAATCATAAAAAGCATATTTATTAAATACACTGGAGAGAAGTAAGAAAAACAAAACAAAATGGAGCAGAAGCAAGAAATGCAGAATGAGAACAGAAATTAAACTAGGGTTGGCAAGGTTTCCCAATGCGATTGTCATAGGACAGCCCTTGCTACCTCAAAGACTGAGCAGGGGCATTGTCATGATAGTTACAAATTTGTCGGCCTGTTTCTCAACAATGCAGCTTACAATTTTCTTAAAACTTCCTTCTAAGTCCCCCTGATTGGCTTGTGGCCTTGGGAATCCCAAGTCAGTCACTGCAATCTTCTCTCTGCCTTGAAGGAACTCATCCTGCAGATCTCCTCAGAACCATTCTTTTCACTGCACATTTTGAGGAAGACACGTGAAAGCCGCTAAATATTCCCAAGAGCATGTATGTAGGCAGTCACTCACCGATTTCAGATATGCTGGAACAAGTTTCGTTTATAACAAGCTCATGCATGTATGAGCTGGAACCCCAGTAGCAATGCTTTTTGACTGACGTAGGTGCCGAAAGTAGGCAGATGTAGTGGTGGGAGCCTGTGAACACTTTGCTGAACTGCTTTCACTGAGAATGAGTAAGAGGGCAGAGATACAGGGACTGAGGCAAGAAAATGTATTCTATGTTACCCAGGGTTGGTAGTTACTGCTCTGATACACTAGTTTTCACATGTGTACAACAGGATTGGGCCAGTTAACTCACTTGTTTGTCTGGTCCTGGCCACCCTCACAACCTTTGCTGTTGGGCTCATAGCTGCGGCCACTGTGAATCCTTATCACTGAAGGTCTCCTGTTTCACTGACCCCTTGCTTGACCCAGCATGACTTCTTCTCCACGTACTGACTGGTCCTTCCTGGTAACATGTCCAAAGCATATGAGACAAAATCGATGCATTTTCACTCAGAAGGGAGTGTTCTGTAATCCTTCCAAGAGAGATGATTGTTCCTTTGGCAGTCGATGATATGTTCAATATTCTTTGCCAACATCACAATTCAAATGCACCAACTGTTCTTCATTCATCTTTACCCATTGTCTGGCTTTTGTGTGCAAGAGGCAACTGAAAATATCATGGCTCAAATTTACTCCTCAAAGTGAAATCTTTGCTTTTTAACCTTTCAAAGTCTTTCTCCCAGCAACTTTGCCCGATGCTATATATTGTTATTGTTTCTCTCTTTTTTTGGGGGGGGGGGGGCCTACAAGAAAGCTTTTTAAAAAAACTTGTAAAACACAACATTTTCTAAGCCTTTTTTGCACTTATAATTCAGGGACATCAATCACATCCATCATTTGATTTCATGACTGCTCCTTCTGTGGGCACTGATTGTGGATCCACGTGAAATGAAATCTTGGACACTGCCACTTGCCAGGAGCAGTGTTTTAAATGCATGCCCTTGTCAGTCTTAATGAGCCCTAGTTAAGTGTCAATGTCATTTCTGTTTACCAAGGGGAAAATAATGGGGTTAATATCAGAATACCTCAGCCAGGAATATCCAAGACAGTCATATAAAAGCAATCCCCATTCACTGAAAATGCGGGTAGGAATTCCTATCGGGCGTCAGGCCCAGTACTAGTGTTGAGGACACAGCGACAACGACCCCTACACTAGGTGGAAAGTTGGAGCGTATTATATCTAATAATTGAGCAAGAAGGGGCAAAGTGTGAAGTAAGCTCAAGAAGGAATGATGTAAGGTGCTACCTGAGCATAAGAAATGGGGCAAGAGACAAGGACACCGCCCCCACCCCACCCCCAACCTACATGGTCCTGTGAGAGGGGAAGGGAGCAGGAGGAACATGGTGAGATTCCCTTAAGGAACTGACTTCAGCAGAGATAAAAGAGTTCAGCCAAGGTCCGTTGGTGGTGCAAAAGCTTACTGAGCTCAACTGCTAATGGGAAGGCTGGGGCTCCAGCCCGAAGTCCTGGTTACATACTTCAGAAAAGTGAGCCACTGAATATCCCATGGAGTTCCGCTCTTTTAAGAACTACCTGTAGAGGATCAAACTGACAACCTGAACTATTAGGTAGGAAATGTTGGGGGCAGTGAGTTTGTTCAAGAGTACGGAACGATTTGAAAAGTGAGAATGGTCAAATGGCTCGAAGTATGCGATCAAGTATCACTGAGTTATACACGTTGAATTGGTGTGTATTTTCTCAGCAATAAAAAAATTAAAACAATTGTTAAAGAAATAAAAAAATACAACGCCAGAGAAGCATCGCTCCAAAGTGTTAGCAATCTCACATTTCAAGTGTAACTTTGGGGAAGATTGTAGGAAATATTATAAAAAAACTAAATAAGACTGTACTGAAAACTGCAATCCTTTAGAAAATTATCAATGACAGAGACCATTTAAAAAGCTGCTTAAAAGTATGAAAACATGTCACGTTTCATTATTCTGCTTGTATTTTCTTTAATGTTCAGCTAAATAATATAAACATGTCACGCTTCATTATTCTGTTTGTATTTTCTTTAATGTTCAGCTAAATAATATAAACATTAAAATTTTTTAATATATTGTTTAAAAGTTTTTCATAGAACTAATTTTATGCCCACCAAAATAAAGCTAATTTGTATTGGTGACCAATAAAAAAATGTTTTTCCAAACAATTAAAAAGGAGAAAACCTTCTGAAGCAGGACAGTTTTACCAACCCGCACAGGGTCACCATGGGTTGCACTTGAAGGTAATTGGTTTGAAAGACAGGTGGTTACGTGTTGGGCTGCTAACTCAATTTCAGCAGTTTGAAACCCAGTTCATGACGGTATGTTTAGTTTAATTACAGTAAATCAGGTATTATGTTTGATGCTTTGTACATGATCTCTTATTTAATCCTTTCAACAACCAGGCAGAGAAACATGAAGTAACTTGTCCAAGGTTACCTGCTAGTAAGTGGCTCCATTAGATGGAACCCAGAGCCTCTAGTTGGGCCAGTCTCACCAGTGTCTACAGCCACTCAGATGAGACAGAGGGCACTCTAGAAGCCAGTCAGCAGAATCTGGTGTCAATTTGAGGATTAAAAGTGTAGGGGTGGAGTCTAGTTTGTCAATCAGTGTATAGCCAATGAGGCCTCTGTGTGGACATGGCCTTCTCCTGAAGATTCTGGGTACTCCTATATTTCCTCCTTTGAGGTGGGAGACAGACAGACTGACACTCTCTTCACACCCTGAGAGACACTACTGACAAGACACATGGAGCTACACTGATAGAGCCTGTGCCCTGGGAGCTGGAGAAGCCATACAGAGACCCCAACCAGTGCTGAGATGCTTACTACACCACTGGATCCAAAAGACTTGCCACTCACTGGCCTGTGATCGTGCTGCATTCAGCATCATTGCATGTGTTTCATGAGTCTGAAGAGGACTTTATGGATTGGTTTCAGCCATATGGGCGAATATCGGACTTTTGAACTTGATCTGGACTGGGCTGAGATATTCAATTGCTGTTGTATATAAAGCTCTTTCTTATACACATATGCGTGTTTATGAATTCGTTTCTCTAGTCTACTCGGACTAACACACCCTTCTCCTCACTAATCATTGGCTGGATCAACCTGGACTATTTATTTACTATCTTGTTTTCTCATTTAAAAGGAGACCTGGTGGTGCTTGGAATTAAGCAGTGGACAGTTAATCGCAACATCAGCTCGTTCCTATCCATTAGCCACTGTCCAACAGGAGCAAGGTGACTGCCTGCACCTGGACAGATTTCCCATCTCAGAACCCCCTATAGAGCAGTTCTACTCTGTCCTCAGGGTCTCCAGGACTCAGAATCCACTCGATGCCAGTGGGTTTGGTTCTGAATTTGCTGGTGGGAGGATTAAATTGGATACTGGCTAAAAAGCAATTATATGGGAAAACAGACAAAAAGCAACCAGGTCAGCACCCTTCAACCAAAACATCATGGGAAGCACAGATGTGCTTTGTAAGTTTAGCTTTCACATGAAAGCTTGGGTTAATTTCAATAATATTGCGTTTAACTTAAAGTATTATCATATCAACACATAATCATTACAGAATCTGTTAATGACGTTTGACCTTTATTTTGGTACTGAACACACCGCTGTTCAGTTGATACGGGCTCACAGTGAGCCTACATGGGGTGAACAGGGTTACTGAGACTACTAATTCCGGAGGCAACAGCTTCATCTTTCTGCGGGCGCGCTGCCGGGTTTGAACCGCCAAAGCTGGCCTGACAGCTCAACGCCTAGCCCACACCGCCAACAGGGCTCCTTTTGGGGTACTGGGTTCTCGAAATCCAGCGTGTATTTTACTTTACGGCATTCTTCAATTCACATGGCCACACCTGGCTAATGGCTATCGTACTGGTACTGGGCAAGCTACCGTTAATCACCATCATGAGCACCAGGAAGCCGACCTGACTGGGCATATTCACCGTGGCCCCGGGACCGCGAGGCGGCCCGACGCAAGACGGAGGGGCTCGGAAGTGGTTCACACGAACTGAGGGTCCCGGGGACCAGGTTGCACCTGCCGAAGCCCACGCCCCGGGTCTTCTTAGGCCTTGCTTTTGACCCCCGAGACCGCCTCCCGCCGCTCACCGCAACGCCTCTCCACACCCAGACCCCACAGCCCCTGTGCCTACCTTTCTCCTCTCTCCTCCCCGCGAAGCTGCGGCCGGCGTCCCCGCACGCGGATTCTCGACCGAGACCGCCCGACACGCACACAGAGACCATTCACTCGGCTCCCTCTCAGGGAGCGCCAGGCCTGTTTGAATGCAGTTGCCGCGATAACTCGCACTTCTCTCGAGAACTCGCGCGAACCCGGAAAGCGGGGCGGAGCGTCCCACCGAGTGCCCCGCCCCCTGCCTCTCCACTGCGACTGCGCGGGGGGCGGGGGGTGCCGGCTGGTGGCGCAGGCGCAGGCTCAGTGGTAACGCCGTGTTGGCTCCTCTCTCTCTCTCTCGTTGGTTACTCGGGTAAATTCTAAGTGTCCGCTTTTAGTTGGCGTGTAATTTATGATCGTCCATGCTGGAGGGCCGGCGTCGCAGTTAGAATGTTGTCAGCCAGAGTTGGATTGTGGAGCATCGCCATGGGCTTCTCTGGACGTTGGTTGGCCAGTGTGTTCTCTGCGGGCTCTTGCTCTGTAGTTCCAAGAATCTGAGTCTGCACGTTTGTGCTTAAATGCTTCTTAGAACAGAATCCACACCGATACCATCCTCTTTAGTGCTGCTGATATATGAGTCTCTCTTCACCATGTGCCTGCGTAGTGCCAAGTTTTATGTGGATTCTTGTTGCGGGTTCGAATAAATGACAGCCACTATAATGTCTTGATAATTCAAAAGTCATTATTGGGTTATAACCGGACTGCTGGAATCTAAATGCGATCCTTTGATTGCAGTCCTGAGTCCACATTTCAGTCCATCTGTTAAGGCAAAAAACTCATCCTTTGTCAAAGACTGAAGCAAGCGTGGACAGAAGTAGAAAGACAGAAGTTAGGGAGCATTACAGGGTACAGCGTTGATTATAACCTCTCGTAACTTCAAGGAGAGCAAGCGTGCTTTAAAAGGTGCATTCCTTATCATAAAAGAAACAATGCCAAAATTGACTATAACATCATGGTTACCATAACAAGATTAACTACACCGTTCAGATTACGACATCAAAAAGGACAATATTAAAACAAACTATATATTGAAGAATAGTCAAAACTAATTAGTGTCCAGAACCTGGGAACAGGGGAGTACATTCTAAAATGAATCACCAGCAGAGCCTTTCGAAAGGAGGAAGTAAATGGACATATCAATTTAGCAGTCTACAAAAAAACGAGGTTTCTTTTGCCAGTCTGCCTCATTATTTCAGTTAAGCCCACAAACAATCTGATGAGCTAGATATTATTATTCCTCTTTCTCTGCAGAGGAAAATTAATGGCCAGCAAAGGAAAGTACCTTGTCCAAGTGGCAGAACTTAATTGGAACCAACACAGTATGTGTTTGAACAACAATTTGTGTTTGGTAAAGCCGATAGCTGAAAAAATTAAGCAGCTGAAAATATTAGCAGATGACAGTGAGTTTGGTTTTTAGCATTTAGTGAGCAATGCAGAGTCTTCTTAGATGTCAAGTCATTCCTCCTACAGCAACTCTGAAAAACAATAAAACGCTGCCCTGTCCTGAAGCATCACCACAATTGTTACTTTGAGCTCATTCTTGCAGCCACTGTATCAATCCATCTCTTTGAGGGACTTTCTCTTTTTTCTCAGTCTTCCTACTTTACCAAACATTCCAAGTCCTTCTGCAGCAACTAGTCTCTCCTGATATCATGTCCAAAGTCCAGAAGCCTAGAGAGTCCTAGCAACTACTATGTGGCTCAGTTTGTACTTTTGAGTCCTTCCTTTTATACCTACCTACCTGGGTAGGCTTCTCGTCATCACTGTCCCCACCCCCCTTTTCTATCGGGTCATCCCTCTTAGCAAACAAATATGCTGTAAGGGTTTTCATCTTAAAACAAAAAACACCAATACCTTCTCTTTGATCCCAGTGTGAACTACCCATGTGTGACCAAACCAGCACCAAACTTCAAGTCCGTTTTTGACTCATGGCGACCCTGTAGGATGGGTAGAACGGCCCCTGTAGGTTTCTGAGACGAAATCTTTCCAGGAGTAGAAAGCTCAGCCTTTTCCCCATGGAGCAGCTGGTGGTTTCGAACTGTTGACTGTTCGTATCACAGCCCAACTTGGAGCCATTACACCACTAGAGTGCAGGGAAAAAAAGTGTCGGTTCACTATCCCCATTTCCCTACCTTAGAGTTTCCCCCCTTTACTTCAGTAAGGGGCTTTGATTCCCACCAATGCAGTGGAAAGTTTGCTGCAAAACCATACTGAATTCTCAGTCTCACCTCTCCTCACAGTGGGGGGCCTCATTGAGTCTTCATTTGGCTCATGCATGGAACACCGCACCCCCTTACTTTTTCCTATTCAGTTTCCTTGCTTCTATTTCTAACTGAGCTAGATTGGACAATAACGTGTGGATCCATGCTTTTAAACTGGCAATGATGATGCCTTCAAGTTGCTCATAATACAATTTAGCAGATAGAGTCAAGGCCTGAATCAAGTATTCTTTGTAACTATTTTCATGTTCTTGAATAAATGAAACAACTTTAATTTTCCCCACAATTTAACTCAGAAGTTAGGAAGACACTGCTTTGGCCTAGAGATTAATTCTGACTGGTTGAAATTAGGTCATTTACATTTTACTGAACTTCATCATACGTAAGACATGTAACATGCTTAGATTATCATTGATGTATCTAAAATATTTTTTCAGCTATGAACTAAGTAATCAATTTGTCATTGGCATAAGGGAAGAAATTCAGAGTGAAAGGACTCTACTGCCTGGCATAAGTTTACAATATTAGGAAGGATTAAATATAGTTAGCTAGATAGGCTGATAGAAAGATACAATTAGTTGTATATAAGTGTGATATGAATGCTTCACACTCCACAACAAAGGGAAAGATCTACTTTTTCTGGGAGTCCCTTTAAAGTTCCATAGTGCAGGTGACATTTGAGAAGGGCCTTGAATGGTCCAGTGTTAAGGGTACTGAGCAAATAATCATGGAAGCTGGCTTATATGAAGAAGAATGGGGCATCAAGATTGGAGGTAGGTTTCTCAGCAACCTTCAATATGAAAATGACACAATTTTGCTTGTTGAAAGTGGGGAGGATTTGAAGCACTTCCTGGTTAAGATCAAGTGTTCTTCAGGATGGATTATAACTCAATGTAAAGAAGACCAAAATTCTCAGAACTGGACCAATGGGAAACATCCGGATAAACAGAAAATATTGAATTTGTCAAGCATTTCATCTTGTTTGGATCCACAATCAATGCTCAGTTAAGATATCAAAAGATTATTGCATTGAGTCAATCTGCACAATTGGGTCTCACTGCACAAGACCTCTTTAAGGGTTGAAAAGCAAGGATATTCCTTTGAGTACTAAGATATGTCTGACCTACCCCATGGTACTTTCATTGGCCTCAGATGCATGTGAAAGTTCGACATTGAATAAGGAGGACTGTAGAAAACATGATGCATTTAAACTATGATGTTGGTGAAGAATATTGAAAGTACCCTAGACCGCCAAAAGAATAAATTTGTCTTGAACGAAGTATAGCCAGAAATCTCCTTAGAGGCAAGGATAATGAGAATTTGTCTCATGTGCTTTGGACATGTTTTCAGGAGAAGTCAGTCCTTGGAAAAAGATGCCTTGCTTGGTAAAATAGAGGGACAGCCAAAAGAAGAAGACCCTCCATGCCTTCCTGACTCAGTGGCTGCAACAATGGGCTCAAACGTAAGAACAATTGTGAGGCTGGTGCAGGACAGGGCACTGTTTCTCTCTGTTGTACATAGGGCCACTGGGAGTTGAAGCCAATTCAAGGGTATCTAACAACAACAAGGAATGCTTTTGAGAGGATACCACTAGCAAAGGCATAGAAGAGATGCATGTATAATTAAGGCTGTTCTTTTAAAACTGTCTGGATAGTGTGTTGCTGCTATGTCCACTGGAGACTATATCACAAAGGAAATGAATTGATGCTTCCAGCCTCTTTTGATCATATTCTCCCTCTTCACATTACCAGATGCGGACCTGCATACTTCTGGCTTTAATGCTGGAGTCAGAAAGTAAGAGACCGAGTGTGGGAATTGCACCCGATCTGATCCCACCACACTGAGGCAAAGCCCTGGGGGAGTGCAGCGGAACAGCAAGGGAATGGAGTAGCAAGGTCCCCAGGGAATGCTGAAGGTGGACTTTGGGGCCAGGGCATGGTGCCCCAACAGACTGGACTGGAAAACACTCCTAAAG